GCAAACTTGAATCCCAAATCGGCCCGAATTCATATTTTTCCCCCTTTTTCTATAAATAAGGCCTCCCTAACCCTTTTTTGGGGGTTACAAACATTACGGAGAGGCCTAGGGACGAATTTACTTGCGTTTTTACGATTGTTTACTCCAAGACCCTGTGATTATTTGTAAGTTCATCTTTTTAATTAATGACAATTAATTCTATTCATCCCAGTTCTGTTGATTCTTCAATTATGAACTGTGAGTAGTTTAATTAGGGATTTGGGATTGATGAAGGGGTTAATCATGATTGATGGCTAGATTCTTGTCGGTTTAATTGCATGAATGCCATTTAATTTGTGTTTGAATAATTTAACTGATATCTTTTGTAACCTGGAACCGCGGCTAGAATTACAATTGCTTGTAGAATAAATTAAGAGAGATCTAGTTTATTCTAGGACACATTCACACACACTTAATCGTTCACTAAGAGATTAGTAGCGATTAAGGAGCCGTAAGCTCGCTCGTCTTGGCAATAATTTAGGATCCTGTCGCATGAGAGATCAGCCTGGTCCCCTAAATTATTGTAATCTACGCCGCGAGAGCGGTAAGAACTTAGTAATGATTAGCTAGGCTCAATTAAATCAATTTCATGTAATTAGGCCTGATGTGCCAGAAATCTGGTTACCCTGGAATCAATCCCTATTCCCTTCGTCATTAATTAATTAGAAACCACATTTATTCGCTCAACCGCATTAGTTTAATTTTCAAATCAACCAATCTCGCACGACACATTTATTTTATTTATTTCATTTTTAATCGCTGAATTTAGTTAATCTTTAATTCCCTTTTGTCCGTCCCTGTGGAGACGATACTCGTACTTACACCCCTATATTACAATTTTTTTTAAGTGCGAGAAAACTCACATCACCTGGTTTTGTCCGAGGATATTGTGGATAAGGATAATGATTAGGGGAATGAGATTGAGAGTATTGCGTATTTGGAAGAGGGTAAGAATAGGAAGATTGGAAATTTTGTGGTGTAGGAGAATAATTTTGATGAGATGTGTAATATTGAGGAGGAGGAGGAGGAGGAGTGTAAGGAGGGTATGACGTATATGGTGAATATTCCATGGAGGTTTGAGGGTAAGGAATTTCTCCAGTAATTTGGCTGATTGAGTTCATCTCACCCTCTTAAGAACAATTACCTGAAAGGTTAGCACAGAAAAAATCCTACGAAGAACTAAAAAAAAAAACTAACTAAAGAAAAAATCTCGCTGAAATTAATTAACCCTTAAAACCGACACCGTCCCCGGCAACGGCACCAAAAACTGATGTGAGTTTTCTCGCACTTAAAATAGATCGTAATATAGTGGTGTAAGTACGAGTATCGTCTCCACAGGGACGGACAAAAAGGAATCAAGAATTAATGAAATTCAGCGATTAAAAGAAATAAATAAAATAAATGCGTCGTGCGAGATATGATTGGTATGAAAAATTAAACTAATGCGAATAAAACGATTAAACTAGTGGGTTCTTTCTAATTAATGACGAAGGGAACATGGATTGATTCCGGGGTAACCAGATTTCTGGCTGATCAGGCCTAATTACATGAAATTAATTTAATTGAGCCTAGCTAATCACTACTAAGTTCTTACCGCTCTCGCGGCGTAGAGTACAATAAATTAGGGGACCAGGCTGATCTCTCATGCGACAGGATCCTAAATTATTGCCAAGACGAGCGAGCTTACGGCCCCTTAATCGCTACTAATCTCTTAGCGAACGATTAAGTGTGTGTGAAGGTGTCCTAGAATAAACTAGACAGATCTCTCTTAATTTATTCTACAAGCAATTGTAATTCTAGCGCGCGTTCTAGGTTACAAAAGATATCAGTTAAATTATTCAAACACAAATTAAACGGCATTCATGCAATTAATCCATCAAGAAACTAGCCATACACCATGATCAACCCCTTCATCAATCCCAATCCCTAATTAAACTACTCACAATTCATAATTGAAGAATCAACAGAATTGGGAAGAATAGAATTAATTGTCATTAATTAAAAAGGTGGAACTTACAAAGAATCCCAAAAGATTGATGAACAAGGCTGAAAATTCCTCTAAAATTCGTGCTAGGCACTCTGTCTAAGCTCCCCCTTGAAAACGGGGGTTTACAGGCTGTTTAAATAGAAAAATCGGGTGAAATTTGAGCTGAATTAGGATTTTCGGAGCCAGACACGATGCCAGGCATGATCGTGTCTTCGATCGTGCCTCCGGAGCAAAAACGCACATTTTGGGCAGGCACGATCGTGCCTTCCTCGAGGCACGATCGTGCCTGGCTGGCAGTAACTCCGCGATGCTTTCTCTTCATGCATGATCGTGCCTGACTTTGAGGGCACGATCTTGCCTACTTAACTTCCGAATTTGGCAATGCTTCCTTCATGAAAGTTGTAGATAATGAAGTCCTCTATCCACCCCAAGTTGCCGAATGTGATTTGAATCATCAAATCAAGAGATATGATCAAAACGGTGGAAGGTGTCTTTCTGCAATCGCAGCAGAGATCATCTGACTTCATCGTCTGTTTTCACCTTCTTCCTCTCAGATTCTCGCAAAGGTGTCTTCATATCATTTGTAGCCCTTGAAGTTAGATTTCATATGGAACTTGAATCGTGTAAATTGGATGTTTCTACAAAGAAATATGTTTGAACGATTGACAGAAGGTCATCCTGATCGTCGTTTTCAAGCTTCATTCATCTTCTTTTGACCCCGTAGCCAATCCTAGAGCTCTTTTTCCTTCAAATCTTCATCGTGAATCTTCCGGTGACCTCCAAAGCTATCAAATCATTCTCAAATGCTTCTCAAATCATCCCGATTGTTCCTCAAGTGCCGGGTACCGGGCTCAAATTCCCTGATTTTGACTACAAACAACACAAAACTCAAACCAACGCCCGGTAAACATAACTTGAGCTAAAATTGAGACTTGTAACACCTTAAGGATAGGAAAATCATCAAAAGCCGATCTCAACACACATCAAATGCGTGTCAAAATACGGACTTATCAGGTAGCTTAGAGTTATGCCCATAATTATACTATCACCCTATGTTAAGGGTCTCATGTGAGAAACGTTAGTTACATTACATACAGTTTGCCCTCATTAGTACTTTTTTTGTAGTACTGACCCCTCTTGAGAACCATCATTTCAGGTTGAAGCTAGAGCGCAACTTACTTCTTGTACCCGTTGTTCGGGAGATCAATGGAGAGAAGACGTGGTTCGTGATTTCTCTGGTTCTATTTCTAAATAATTTAATAATGCTCATGAAAATATTTTGACTTATAAATTAATGGAGCCTGCGAGCTCTTGTTTTACCCTTGTGCGAGTTCTTATTAAACACTTATATTCCGCTATGTGTTTATTTGTATGTTGATGTTGTTATGTATGTTTACTGATCAGTATTGGCATATGTATCTATCAGACGTCTTGTGCAATTCGGTAAGGATAAACTGCGGTTATTCTTATTAAGTTGTATGACGGTTGTCTACGTGGCATAGACGCGGTCTGAGGCGTGACACACTAGTTGAGGCGGCGTTGGTCACTGATTGAGGTGACGTGTCGGGATGGGGAAGAAAGTCATGGCCCTGGGCTGTCGGTCAATGATCATTAGGTGAGCAGGTCATTGGGTGGGGCAGTGGTGGGAAGGGGGTGGCCGACAGGGAGTCATCGGGGTACTGCTAAGTGCAACTTAAGGCCATTCAGACAGCTTTTCTAATTAGCTTTGCACCTCCCATATTGTTTCAAATACATCAAAACAATACGAAGAAGAATAATAGAGTTCTTCTTGAACTTCGGCTTGGCTAACTCCTTCCAACTACTCTAACAAATCACATTTGAAAAATAAGTGATCATTTGAGTCCATGTGAGCCTTGCAAAAATAAAAATCTTATCTATATCTATATGCATCAAGTTATCAAAAGTTGATAGTCTATTTATAAGTCCAAGCCACAAAATAAAACAAAGCTTTGGCGGGTTGTGATGTTTTCAAATAAGGTTCATTTAGGATTTATTATGACATTTTGCCCTCATAATGTCATAAAGTTGATTAGCTATAATTTGCGCAAAGAAAGTGCGAAGAGTTTGAATAATTCCATTCTATCCATCTAATATTGTACTCAAAGTTTCGCTAAGTTAACAAGATGAGACTCCCCACCAGAAGATGTCCAATCATATATAGAACACTTCTTTAGGTGCACATAATGTACACATTTGACCTATTAAACTATGAAATCTCCCATGTTGATTGTCCAGCACTTTGACCAAGTGGAGATGGCACTTCTAGGAGCTGTGGTGCAGGTTGTCTTGTCAACACAGGACACACATTATCAAGTGTTTCCTCTTCTTGCAACCATCATGGTATGTCCAAGCCACTTTTAATAGGCAGATCCTGGACCTTGTTTGCAAATGGAAATGTTGTTTCAATAAAATGGACATCTCGCGACACAAAATGGCATTTGTTTTCTAAATAAAAAACTTTCCATCCCTTTTGGGAATGTGCATATCCCCAAAAAACACATTTTACACCACGTGGAGCAAATTTCTCCATTTGGGGGTTTTGTGTGTGCGTAACATAAGCAACCAAAGACTCGCAATTGATGATACATTGGTGCCTTGTTAAACAAAAGCTCATAGGGACATTTATGGTTTAATAATGGTGTAGGTAATCGATTAATGATATATCCTGCCGCCAGAACACACTCACCCGAAAACTCAATAGGAAGACTTGCATGAAAACGTAATGCACGTGCCATTTCCAAAATGTGTATATGTTTCCTTTCTACCCTTCCATTTTGTTGAGGTGTATAAACACAAGAAGTTTGGAGAATGATTCCATTGACCAAAAAATACCCATTTAAACTCTGAAATTCTCCCCCATTGTCACTTCGTACCACCTTTACATTTTTGTCAAATTGACGTGAAGTCATAGCAAAAAAATGTTTAAACACATTTTGTACCTCACTTTTCACGTATCAAGTGCACCCACACAGCTCGGGAAAAATCGTCAACAATAGTTAAAAAAATAGCGTGCACCACATGTAGCTGGGTGTCGATATGGACCCCATATGTCACAGTGAATTAATTCAAATGGTTCAACAACTTTTGTTGTACTAATAGAAAACAAATCACGTGTTTGTTTAGTCCTCAAACACACATCACACGTCTTGTTAATTTTAACCAATAAATTATTCATGCCAGATTTCATCACTTTCAAGGACGAGTGCCCTAATCGTAAATGCCATAATTCACCTTGTTCTTCCGTAGTCACCGAATGAGACTTGGCCAATTCCAAACTGTGGAAATAGTACACCCCCTTGTCGTATACCTGCTCCTATCGGCGTTCCCGAAGTTCGATCCTGTATCACACAAATTTCATTAGTAAAATATATGTCACATTTCAAGTCATTGATCAACCGGCCTATAGAAATAAGATTACACTTAAGTCCTGGTACATGGAGAACATTTTTAATTACAATCTCAGGGCTTAAATGTACATCTCCCACACTTGTCGCATGTGTGGTTTCGCCGTTCGGCATGCTCACTGGTATTGGTGTTAATTTTTTTGTTAAAGATCATAAGTTGAGCACAACCTGTCATGTGATATGAGACTCCTGAATGCCATTTTACCTTACATCCTTTACCGGACAGTTTTGCATCGAAAGATGCGGCCCTAAAATTCTCAATGAGAGTAAGCAAACCTTCCCACTGTTCATTAGCAAATCGTGGTAGAGGACATGCATCATCCTTGGAATTTGTCATCGTTTGTGTCTTTTCCAGTGAGACTCCACCTAAATCAATCGCATTAGTACGTATCATTTCATGATTCCGTCTAGTTCCATCAGCTGTTGAGATGGTCGCGTCGATTGTCATTGCCGTCGAAGGTCAGAGAGCGCAGTCCGGGGATCACTGCTCTAATGCCATATTAAACGTATGTCTATACAGAAGTAATGTTATGTCAAAGTTGTCTTATTCGTGTGATGTCTAGAATGTACGAATGAATATAGGGAGAAAGACTCCAATAGGACTAAAACATGGCCTTTGTACTTAAATAGGACCTATTGCTTTTATAAACCTAAATAGGACTAAAGTTTATCAAAGGGACCAAATTACCCCTGCATTCATACGGAGTAGTCTTCGTGGGCTGAGGCAACAAACTCTCTCTCCAGTTCCGTACAAAAGGTGAGTCCCCGACCCCCTGCGCCCGATTCACTACATGAGAAGAGGAGAAGGTGTACTCCGCAATTAGCAAATGCATTAATCGATTCATCCATCGGCCACCATCAATTTTATAGACCACCGCTGGGAGCTGCCGCAATTGCTTCCTGGAGCCGCCATCCGCCATCGGGAGCTGGCGACCGCCGCTTGGAGCTGCCGCAACAGCTGCCTGGAGCCGCCATCCGCCATCAGGAGCTGGCGACCACCGCTGGGAGCCTCCATCCGCCGTCGGGAGCTGGTGACCGCCGTCCACCACCGGCCACCGCACCCTGCTTTAACGCTGGATAACTCTTCAAGGGACTATGGACGCATATGTCAGCAAAAGCTACTCCTCTGGTGAACTGCTGGTCTGCTGGAGAAATGTTGTTGCTCTCCTTTGGCATGAAGCTGCCAATGCATAGTTCTATTCGTGACTTTTTTTTGCTTTCTTCTTCAATTTTACTCTTTGTTATTTTACTCTTTTGTTTTGGTTGTTTTGACATTCCGTTCTCTACATTTTTTCCCATCTCTTTTTATTATACTCCGTAAATTATAAATTTCACTCTTTTACCATATAGATTATAATTTTTTTTATACATCACAAACAAATATAGATTATGACAACCTAGTATAATCTCATTGTCAAAAAATGAATATTGTTATCAAAACAAAAAATACAATGCCAAAAAAGTTACAATGTCGTCAAATATGTCACAATGTAAAACATTATCATTATAAAAAATAAATTTTAAAATGTTAGGTATCAATCATTTTCGAAACAATATCACTATATTATAAATATCACTCCATATATTAAATTGTAGAAAAAAATGGAATGGGGGCATATATAAACATGTCACATTGTCAAATAATAATGATCTGAAAATTAATGTCAATGTTATAAAAATGACATTGCAACAATGACAATGTCATTACCAATGATAATATCGTGACAATATTATACACATTTTAAAAATGAACTAAAAATGTCGAAATATCGTAAAATGTTATAATATCGAATAATGGTTATGGTAATGTAATATAAAATGACATTATAGTCATGACAATGACAATTGTAATATCGACAACAATCAAAATAATATTGTCATAGTGTTAATGCTATAAAAATAAAAGTATTAAAAACAACGTCAATGACAGAATATCGTATGTATTGTAAAAAAGAAAGAAAGAGTGTTACAATGTCATAAAAATATCAAAATGCTAAAAAATCACAATGCCAAGAAAAATCATACAATGTCAAACATTACCACTTAAACATTAACAAAATTACAACATCAATTTTCTTGTTGTTTAGATTTAATGTCACAATTTAATCATAAAATTATTATAACATTTTCACAATCTCACAATTTATAAGAATATCATCAATGTCACTAAAATGTCATAATATCAAAGAAACGTTGCAATGTTATTATTGCAATGTCATATAATAACGTCGTCAATGTCGTTCCTATTTTATTAATGAATCGATATCAATGCTATAAAAATGTCATTGTAATAATCACAATATCTATAATAATGCTATTAATGTCAATGTTACAGCAATGACATTCTTATATTGATGACATTGTTAAGAACAATGTTATAACAATGACACTATTATAAAAATGACATTGTATTAAGAAAATTATCATTAACAACTTGATATCATCTACTCCGTATTTTGTTTACACTAGAATTGTCACAACTGTGACAATGACATGACAATGATAATGTTATAAAAATAACATTATAACAATGTCAATGTAGTGACAATGTCAATGACAATGTCGTGATGACAATGTTAATAACTATTAAAATGACATTGTTAAAATAATGACAATAATTAAATCATTATAAATTGATGGCAAAATCAATAATTATAAAAATGACATTATCATGAAAATGTCATTAATGAAAATACAAAATAACATTATCTTTTTTGTTAACAGTGTCACTGTTAAAATATAATTATGATAATGTCATGACAATGATAGTGTCAATGTCATGACAATGATCAATAATTTTTAAAAATATGACATTGTCATGATAAACATTGTCAAACTATGCAATGTCACAATATTTTAAGTATCAAAATGTTGAAAATGTGTTCAAATTGCTAAAATAATTTAACCCTGTAAAATGTCAAGAATTCTAAACATCTAATTACATATTAAAACAATTACGATAAAAGCCATAACATGGATAAAAAAAATGTTTTAGTTTATAAAACAAAAGAAATCAAGAGCCCGTTTGGTAGCACCAAAATCGGCTGTTTTGGCTGATTCTGCTGAAATTTATGATATTCTGGCTGGAGTGGCTGTTTTGGCTGATTCTGCTGATTTAAGAAAAAAATATTTTAAAAATATATTTTATTAATAAATTAAATAAAAAATTATATGTAAAAATAGCTAAAATGGTTCTCTACAGTAACTTCAGCCAATACAGCCAGAAAAGTAACTCCAACCTTACTTTTTCGGCTTATTACACAATTCAGCGCGCGAAACTAAAAGTTACGTGTTTGGTGAAAAAGCTGGCTGATAAGCCTGATAAGCCGAAAACAGAGTTCTCCAGACGGGCTCCAAAATAATTAAAAAAAGAAAGAAAGCAGCGGCCGGCAAGCTCGAATCTCTGGAACACCGAAAGCGTAATGCTCTTTGAAGAAAGCATCTTTTACTATTTTTATTAATTATTGAATCTTGCCTATATTATATTGGACTGATTTCATGAACCGCACGGAAGCATCTCCGGCGACCTTCATGATCAATTGCAGCGGCGGCCTCCATCTCCGGTTAGCTTCACCACTCACAGCGAGGATATTTTGAGGAGAAATCGTTGCCCAGCCTAGTCACTATTTCGCCCGTCGGAAGAAGAATTCAGGAGGTCCGATTCGTAGCTACGACAACCGCGACCACCTGGCGTGGTCCATGCCAGATTGAATTAAAGAGGAGCAGAGATGACAAGGTAGATCGGATTTCTATTCAGAAGAGATTAGACAGATGCAAAAAAGAAGAGGACAGTCACGGGTCGCTGCTACAATTAAATAAGGGCAAAAGTGGCATTATGTTAAATTATAGTCCTATTTACGTTTTAAAAAGTAGGCACTCCTCTACGGGTATATAAGATAAGTTATGGTCATTTAAGACCATTTCCCATGAATGTATATACATCGTTCACGTGTACAAGCTACGCTATTCTACCAAAAACTGCCGCTATGTATATGGAAGGAAATAAATACAATTAATAAAATAATTAGGAAAAATCCGGTGCTGCATGTTGTTCCCACGTGGTGCATATAAATATGGTAAAGTGGCATCAGAATATTATTCTTTGGCTTGTAACGTATGCATGCATATCAAGTACTCCCTCCGTATCTTTAAAATCTTCACATTTGAAAAGTAGGTAGATTAAGAATAGTGAAAGAGAATATGAATTATTGAGGGTATGATAGGAAGATAGTTGAATAAGGTGATGGAATGTAGGATAAATCCAAAAAAAGTAGTTGTAATAGTGTATTATTTTCAGAATTATTGAGGGTATGATGGGAAGATTTAGAAATGGGAAGATTTTTTTGTTACGGACGAAAAAGGAAAGTGGGAAGATTTTAAAGTTACGGAGGGAGTAGATTATTTCCATGCATGTAACATGGTGATCCTCAAAATAAAGGCACCAACATGACCCACATGGTGTCCTTCAAATGGACATTCCACAGTGTCTTAGATAGTAGAGTTGAGTCCCTGACCTCCTTCCTCCTTAATCTTAGACGCATATCATGTAACACCCCCTACCCAGCCCGGAAGGATCGGGCCGAAGCACCAAAGCGTTGACTAACTAATTATTTCTTTATTATTTATACTTTTAATTAATTTTAAAGAAGAATACTAACATATTTTATTAAAGTCCATAGATTGCGGAAGCATAAATATATTACACATCAAGTAGTTCTGGATTTTTGGAATAATCGAGTACATCCATGAAAATTGATCATTCCATGTTTATTTACTAATATGCTAATGAGCACTTATCATGAAAACTAGGGATGAGCTATTACTACTAGTGAAAATGTGACTCTCTGGTGATTGGCCGCTTCTTCCCCAAATGCTCCTTGACTTGAATTCCGGCTCGCAACGCTTATTGACCTACGCGAAGGACAAAAATCCAATGCGCTAAGCAAATCTTGCTTAGTGGTGTTCATTCTTTCTCAATGTAAAAAGTGTCACCATAAGCCAACATAATTTGTAACAATATAATAACCAATCAGCTTATAAATCCGAATTGAGAATACAACTTTTCTTCATAGATAATGTAGCTTGATAATATGTCATCAAAATAATAACCCAATTTGATCACATCAATCATTTTCCAAAATTTTCAGAATATAGAGTATAACAAATTAAAATATACTTCTTATGCACTTAGCATTTTCCCTTTTCAATATACCATTCCAACTTTCTCAACTTGCATTTCCAAATCAAATTCCTTTACGTTTCTTATTTTCAGGAATATTACTCCTTAGTTTAATGGATTGGATAAACGGGACATTCCTCATCTGGTACTGTCCACTCCGTGCCTGCGGACCATCTGAGTAGTGTTGGGTGAGTTTCGAAAAACAAAGAAAATTAATTGATAAAAATTAATTAAATAAAATGACTTAAAGGAAAAACAAGAAATGAGATGAAGCAGAATAAGCCAAAGCTCGTGCCACACACGATTTCCTTAAAACGTATTCGTTGCCTCCTGGGGTGCTAGGAGCGTTGCAACGATCGTTTCCCAGGATACGATGACTTCGAACAATAGTTTAGCACTCAAACTAAAGTTCCAACGAACGAGAACAAAGCTTAGAACACAGAAGGAATTTCGGAAACTGGAGGTGTTTTTGTAGAGCTCAAAAAATGCGTGAGTACGTTTGTGAGTGGTGTTTTTGTTGCAAATCACCTGCCAGGTACTTATAGGAAGGATTTGGAGGTGTGTTAATGGAGGTTTAATGGATATGAACGTTGGCAATCAATGTCCAGCTCGTTGGCATTGATTCGTCCAAAAAATCGTCCATTTACTGCAAAGGAACGTTGGGCATTTATGGCGTTGTAACGTCCCAGCAGCTGTCTGCTGTGGAGCCAACTGCTCGCACGGAGCAGTGGCCTGCTGCGGAGCCAACTGCTCGCACGGAGCAAAAATAGGAATAACCGGAGGAACAAAAATTAACGTTTATCTTTAGAAGATGTAATTTTCGGACGACATTCGTGTCCGCAGGTCGCCCGCGCACGCAAGTCGGGCTTTTTGTTTCTCCGGTTTCGGGATTTGATTCGCACACCACACCCCTGCGCGCGTGGAGAGAGCCTTTACCCTAAGGAATCTTAACTTCTTAAGGGGGTTTCCCTTTATAAAGGGTTCAAATTCCCTTGGGTTTTCCGGTGTGGGAAAAACCGCACTAGAAACTCATCATTTTCCTAGTTTTCTCCATTCTAACCAGTGAACTTCGAGAATCAATTTCTCATTCACCCGTTATCCGTTTTGAGCGTACCATATATCGAATTGTAGTCCTTAACAAGGACAAACTGAAACCACTTTGACCCGACCCAAATCGGAAGTGAATCCCACTCAAAATATTGCCCCAAAATGACCATTCAATGCAATTTCCAACACATTTTTCCAGCAAGTAGTATCGGCACTGACCGTTGTGTGAGTCAGGCCTATCGTTTGGGTACTGTCCACTCCGTGGCTGCGGACCCTAAACGATCGAGTTTCAAAATTTGGGTACTGTCCACTCCGTGGCTGCGGGCCCATAATTTAATGTCATAATTCGGGTACTGTCTACTCCGTGGCTGCGGACCCGGAATTAATCAATTAAATTCTACGGCCGTATTAACTATCCCTATTGGCATGCCAACCTATCCAATCCCAAACAAAGTTTCAAGTTCCATTTTGTTTTATCCATTTACACGAAGTCTGTATCATTGATATTATTATAACTATTATTTTCCATTTCAAAATACAAATTTTAGCCTAATGATATATATTCCAGATTGTGATTATGAAAAAGCTCTCGTACCTGCTCATATTTTTAAGTAATTTCAAATATAGATTTGTATAATTTTTTTTAAATTGACTTTATTATAAATCTCCCCAAGTCCCTAACTGAATCATATAGAAAATTTCTATGAATCAACATATTCTTCTTTATGTAAAATTTTCAGATTTAGATTAGCAGTTTACATGTGCCGTTTTATTTTTATCTTTTAAAATTTTACTGAGATAGACAAAATATATTTATAACTTCTAAAAATTCCAGATTTAATATTTAAATAAATTATAATGAAACTAGTATCGGATTACAATATAAAGTGTACATATTACAGCATAGGCAATTGTAAATATTAGAATAAAGTATATGTAATTCGTAAAGTTCCAAATTTAATGTTAGTGTATGTGTGTAGTTTTGACTGTATCTTGTTATCAATATAAATTATTAGATAATAATCAATCTTATTAAAATGTCAAATGGTATTATATATCTAGCTAGATAATTCCGAAAATCCTTTGTCATTATTTTAAAAATATAAATTGCTGAATAGTTAATATGGCGGGTATAACACTCAGATTTCTCAATGTAATTTTATACTTATTACTTCAATCCGATGCACTTTTATTTAAACAAGAAACGATTTACGATAATATTATTCAACTGTATATTTATGAATTACAAAAAAAGACCGTAATGTTCAATCTATAAGTTTGAAAAGTTTGCTTATTACACATGGAGTATAAATTTCAGGTTTAAAATATTTACGTTAATTCATTTACCAAAAAGAAAATGCTGGAATCTTAATTTAAAAGTAAAATACTTCTAGAGCTAGTATAATTTCATTTTCCACAACCACATATTATCCAGGCCTTCATTTTGAGTTTTCAATAAACCTAGCTACTAACCGTTCCTTGATCATTTAAAATATGTAATCTAGCTTCTAGTGTCAACTAAATTATACGGAGTACTAGGTAATAATAACTGGAAAAAAAAAATATCAGCATTGAAATTAAAATAGTACAATCGAACATCATATCATAACGTAAATGATATAATTTAGTAAATTAAGTGTAATCATTTAACCATAAATTTAGAATATAACAGTAAAATTTAAGTTGAGATGGGAATGAACACGGACCTTAAAATTTAGACAAGATTTTTACTTCTTATTTCCCTCCTAACCTCCTATCTTTCTCCTTTCTCCTAGCTTCTCCTCCCTTGGCATCATAACTCACGGCCCGGCCTCTATGTTTATTTTTACACTCCCACTTACATGTATAATTGAAACAACAATGCTTGATGTACCCACTCTTATACCCACCTTATACCCCATCATGTTTGTGGAGAGTTTTTTTGTCCGTGAACCCGGTTCATAGACAATATTTTGTTTGTGCAAAATATTGTCTGTGAGCCGAGGTTCACAGACAAAAAAAACATTTCACAAACATAGGTGAGTATAAGAGTGGGTACAAAGATCATTTTTTGTAATTGAAAGGCATGTGTCCGTATATATCTATGTGAGCCATCTTTTAATTATCCTCCTCCTTAGAAATTCAGAATTTCGCACGCATAGTCTCCTCTATTTCTAGTCGCAGTAATCTTGATCCTGTTACTTTTTCTGAGGTTGAATCCTTACTCTTAGCCAAGGAATTAAGGATTCGTAAATTACGTGAAGCCTCTCAATCTACCCTGTTCTCTGCAAATGTGGCCAAGCTTGAAGAAACTCAGATTATTAATGATTCTGACTCTCATGAATCCAGTGATAATACATCTGCTCATCTTGCTGAAGCTACTTCTTCAAATGCTCGTGGTGGTAGTGGATCATACAGAGGTCGAGGTCGTGGAAATTCCAGAGGTCGTGGTGGAGGTCGCTCTGGTCCTCGTTCATCTGTTATCTGTCAAGTTTGCAACAAACCTGGTCACCATGCTCTGATCTGCTACCATCGATATAACCCTAGCTATGCCTCTCAGCAAGCCACTCCTCAAGGAAACTGGTCCAGACCTCCTCCAACACCAATGCCTAATTTTCCTCCAGCTCAATTCCATCACCAATCTGCCTACCAACCTTCTCAAAATGCTCAATCTCCAGGATTTCATAATTGGCCTGCTTCACATACTAATCAGCCTTCTGCAGCTTGGGCTTCTGTCAATAACTCCATCTTAGGACCAGTACCACAGCCTCAAGCTTGGTTTCCAGACTCTGGTGCTACTCATCATGTTACAGCTGATCCCCACAATCTGCAGCATAGTGAACTCCCTGCTAACTCTGATAAACTCTTCATGGGCAATGGACAAGGTTTGCAAATTAAGTCTGTTGGTTCAACTTCCTTTTCCTCACCTTATAATCCCTCTCACTTACTGTCATTAAACAACATACTTCATGTTCCATCTATCACTAAAAATCTTATTAGTGTCAGCCAGTTTGCTAGAGACAATCAAGTCTTCTTTGAATTTTATCCTAATGAATGTTTTGTTAAATCTCAGGTTTCTAAACAAGTTCTCTTATATGGCACACTTGGCACTGATGGTCTTTACAGATTCCAGTCCTTTCCAGACCTTCATCAGTCCAGTGATATTGTGTTACAGTCTCCTAGAGTTTCAACAACAAAGAAGTCATCTCAGTCTTATTGTAATAGTCATTTCCCAAATTGTAATGCAATAAACAGTAGTGTATCTAGTCTGAACTCTACTGATTCTTGTAATAGTTCATCTGCTGTGTTTTCTACTTGTAAACTTTGGCATCTTAGGCTTGGTCATCCTCATAATGAGGCTCTTAAGTCTGTACTCAAACAATGTAAAGCTCCATATCAAAATAAAATTACTCTTGATTTCTGTTCAGCTTGTTGTTTGGGAAAAGCAAAACGCTTACCATCCTATCCTTCTGCTACTGAATATACAGCTCCTTTTCAGCTCATTTTTATAGACTTATGGGGGCCAACACCTGTAACCTCATTTGATGGTTATTCATACTATATTTCCTTTATTGATGCCTTTAGTAGATACACCTGGATATATTTTCTCAAAGCTAAATCAGATGCTTTCACAGCTTTCCAGAATTTCTATGAATATGTCAATACCCAGTTTTCTCTCCAAATCAAATCTGTCCAATCTGACTGGGGAGGGGAGTTCAGACCATTTACTAAATTTCTCACTGACAAAGGGGTTACTCACAGACTAGCCTGTCCACATACTCACCATCAAAATGGTGTTGTTGAACGCAAACATCGCACAATTGTAGAAAAGGGTTTGACCTTACTTGCTCATTCATCTTTACCCTTCAAGTTTTGGGATGCAGCCTTTGCTACCTCAGTTCATCTCATTAATAGAACTCCTTCTTCTTCCATATCTCATTCTGTCCCTTACACCAAATTGTACAAATCTGATCCAGACTACTCCTTTTTGAGAGTCTTTGGATGCTCTTGCTTTCCATTCATCAGACCATACAACAGGCATAAGTTTGCCTATCATTCTGAAGAATGTATTTTTCTTGGTTATTCACCCCAACACAAAGGGTACAAATGTCTTTCTTCTTCAGGCAAGGTCTACATCTCTCGTGATGTTATCTTTAATGAATGTGCATTCCCTTATTCAAAACTTTTTCCCTCATCTGCTGCATCATCATCCTTATCCACTCCTCTTTCTTTTCATCTACCCATATATTCTGCAATCCCTCACAATTCTCAAACATCTAACACTAATACTTCATCATCTGAACACACTACTTCAAAATCTATACACTCTAATTCTTCCAAAACCCCTGATTTTGTCCATGATTCATCTTCAGCATCTCAACCTCCCCACACTGACACTCCATCATCTAAACATATTATCCCTAACTCAACACATCCTACCTCCTCTGAACATATAGCTTCTAATTCTATACACACCAATTCTTCCAAATCTTCTCATTCCGTTCATGATTCTTCTTCAACATCTCCCTCTCCTCCTGTTACCTCTCTTGTTCCTCCTACTAATGTGCATACCATGACAACAAGAGCCAAATCCGGAATTGTTAAGCCCAGACTTAATCCAACCTTGCTCATTGCCCATTCTGAGCCAAAGACTGTTAAGCAGGCCCTCACTGATCCAGCATGGTATGAGGCCATGAAATCTGAGTATCAAGCACTCCTATCCAATCATACTTGGTCTCTTGTGTCACTTCCACCTGATAAACAACCCATTGGCTGCAAATGGGTATTTAGAACCAAAAAAAATCCTAATGGATCTGTTCAGAAACTAAAAGCCAGACTTGTTGCTAAGGGTTTTCACCAAAGGTATGGTTTTGATTTTGGTGAAACTTTCTCCCCAGTTGTAAAACCAGTTACTATCCGAATTCTGCTTACTGTTGCCATTACACACAACTGGCCTATTAAACAACTTGATGTGAACAATGCGTTTTTGAATGGTGATCTTGAAGAAGATGTTTACACGGTCCAACCACCTGGATTCACAAATTCAGACACCTCATTAGTCTGCAAACTCCATAAGGCTCTATATGGCCTAAAACAAGCTCCCAGGGCTTGGTTTTTGAAACTCACATCTGCTTTATACAGTGTTGGTTTTAAACAGTCAAAATGTGATCCTTCTCTTCTTATCTTTCTTCAAGACTCCATCAGAATCTATGTTCTCATCTATGTTGATGATATTCTAGTTATTGGAAATCACTCTTCTGCTATTCAGAATCTCATTCACAGGATGAATTCTTCATTTGCTCTAAAAGATCTGGGAAACATTGATTTCTTCTTGGGAATTGAGGCAAATTTTCAGTCTAATGGTTGTCTTCATTTGTCTCAAACCAAATACATCAAAGATTTACTACACAGAGCTGGTATGAGTGACTCCAAAGGGCTGCCAACTCCTATGGTTAGTTCTTCCAAGCTAACAAATGAAGGAACCAAACTGGTAGAAGATCCTACTTTTTACAGGTCTATAGTTGGGGCACTACAATATGCCACTTTAACCAGACCTGAAATCAGCTTTGCTGTTAATAAAGTGTGTCAGTTTATGGCACAACCTCTTCATGAACACTGGCAGGCAGTCAAAAGAATCCTCAGATACTTATCTGGTACATTAAAGCATGGTCTTACAATCAAACCTGCAGCCTCAAACTCACCTTTAGCTTTAACTGGATTCTGTGATGCTGATTGGGCATCAGACCTCACTGACAGAAGGTCAACCTCTGGCTCTTGTCTCTTTCTTGGACCTAATCTCATTTCATGGTGGTCTAGGAAGCAAATTTGTGTTGCTAGGTCTTCAGCAGAAGAAGAGTATAGAAGCCTTGCGGACACAACAGCAGAGATTCTTTGGGTTCAATCTTTACTCAAAGAAGTTCAAGTTCCATACTATGTGCCCAGAGTATATTGTGATAATCTCAGTACAGTACATTTGGCTCATAATCCTGTTCTACACAGTCGTATTAAGCATATGGAACTTGACTTGTACTTTGTCAGAGAGAAGGTTCAATTGAAACAACTGGAAGTCCTTCATATTCCAGCTCATTTTCAGATAGCAGATGTGCTTACTAAGCCTCTATCAAGTTCAAGATTTGTTGAACTCAGATCCAAACTGAGTGTAGCCAATGTTCTAAAAGGCGCCAGGCGCTAGTCGGGCGCCAGCCCAGCGCCTAGCGCCTAGGCGGCTAGGCGGGCGCCTAGTCGGGGACTAGTCGGAAACATAGAAATTGCATTTTATCTATATTTTTGCATAAATATGATAAGTAATATTATATTTTTGGGTGTATAAAATACATATATACATATACATTAACAAACATGAATGATAGAATTATCACATTTAATCATACGTAGTATACGATAACGAATCACTTAACTTCATTATGTTATAAATATAAATAATGATAAAATTTAGGTATATATACAAACTATATATTTTTATCTTAATTGACAACTTCATTTCTTTATATCCATGGCTAAAGTTAAAGTACATATATCGCTTAGAAAATTAAAATTAAAAAGTGAAGTAATGTTCGGCGAATCTAGACGGCCTAGGCGGCCTATTAGACGCTCTAGGCGGGCAACTAGGTGCCATAGGCGGCCGACTAATTCACCTAGACGGCAAACCAATTAGTCGGAGCGCCTAGACCAAAATCGGGGCGCCCGACCACCGCCTAGCGCCTAGGCGGGGACTAGTCGGGCGCCTAGAGCGATTTTTAGAACAGAGAGTGTAGCTGATCTGCCTACACAAGCAACCTCAGTTTTGAGGGGGGAATATTAGGAATATACTTGTATAGTTAAACTAATAGAGTCAGTTAGACCTATTGTTGACTAGTCAAACTGTACAACTGTATTCGGTTACAGCTACTATATATAAATATCCTTGTAACCTTCTCTCTTTGAATAAGATTGATTGATTTCCATTCTATCTGAATAACTCTCTCTTCAGTTTCTAATACATGGCATCATGGCTTTTGTTTCTTTTTCCATTTGGTGTGCAAGTGTCCTTAGAATTGGTTGGGTTTGCATGGTGATGAACATGTGGCATACTTTAGTTATTTAGAGTGGTTGGGTTTGCATGGGGATGGACGAGTGGCATCCCTTAGTTATTTAGGTTTAATTGTTTAGCTACTTTAATTCTTTTATGAGTCTCCCAAGGAATTTACATGTAGCAAGGTCAACCTTTATTATTATTATTTTGTGCATTACACGGTTTTCCTATTACTTTATATAAGATTATTATTTTATTTTATTTCATTTTTACAAAAATTTAAAATTTTTGTGAAATTGATGTTGTTACATATCAACCCAAGACACCTTACCATTAGGCCCCTAAGATGAAATGTTTAAAGTGTGATGATATATATAGGGGTGTTTGGAAAATGGCGTTTCAACCAAAAAATTACGATTTGACCACTTTTAGTATTTCCAATAAATAAAAACGTTGTTTGGTAAATAGTTGTTCGGTTCAAGTGTTTTTGGAAGGAACCACTGAAATGAAAATGCTGCAAATAGGAGAGTTTCGAGTTAACGTTTTGAGAATGTCCTTTTCTACTAATTTTATGGTCAAACAACTAAATAACCAAACATGTTTTGGCAACCCGCCAACGTATTCCGCTAGTCAAACTTGCTCATTGAATTCTCTATTGACAATCCGCTAACATAACCCGTTATCTGCTAACCGTTAAATGTCAAACACGCCCATAATCTCCTCAATGACTACATAAGGGATTGGAAACACTTGGATCAAATAGGATGGGATTCATTCTATAACAACAATTTTTAGTTTCAATCTACCAACTCATGTAGTTTGTTTTCTATTTCAATGTAAACATCTTTATTTTTCAACCGAAGGAGAGCAAGAAGCCACGAACACCTTAAGAGGGCCATAGGTACCCCAAATACAACTAGTTGCAAACTTTCTAGCGAAACTCCGCCACATTTAGGGTATGTTTGCAATTGCTTTTAAAAAAGCACTTCTCAGCTTTTGGCTTTAAAAAAGCACTTATTTTCCCAAACACTACAACTTTTATTTTTCTCGACTTCCGCGTCAAAAGTGCTTTTACTTTTTCTATTACACAAAAAGCACTTATTTTACCAAACACTACCCACTTTTACTTTTCAAAATCACTTTTTTCTCAAACACTATCAACTTTTATTTAATCACTTCTCCCCATTTCATTAAAAAAAGCACTTTTTTAAAAGCAGAAGCTGTTGCAAACAGACCTTTAGAATAGCTTCCTTTTCATCTCATGCAACCCCTGCTAGAGCAACATTTGAGTTATCGATATTATTAGTTGATAAAGAAGATACATTATGAAAATCGGTCATACACTTCAACAAATTAAAATTTGGATACACATCAAGTCACCATTGAGGGAATCATCAGATCACATGCAAAGATCAAAGGAGATATTTGTTGGAAATATGATGGAAAATTGTTTCTTATTTTTCTAACAATATTTTCATCCAGCCACACTTAAGGAGTGTTTGCAATTGCTTCAACTTTAAAAAAGTGATTTTTTAAAGTGATTTTGGGAAAAGTGATTAATAGTAAAAGTTGGTAGTGTTTGAGAAAAAAGTGATTCTGAAAAAGTAAAAGTTGGTAATGTTTGATAAAATAAGTACTTTTTGTGTAATAGAAAAAGTGAAAAGCAGTTTAAAGCACCCTTCCACTTGCTTCCATCTTTTAGCTTTTAAGTGATTAATTTAAGCAGAAGCTGTCATTTGAAAACACCCTTTTTAGTTTTTTTTAAGCCAAAAGCTGAAAAGCGCTTTTTTTAAGTAACCGCAAACACTGCTTTAGATGTTCCCAAACGCATCGGGCTAAACAAGCGGTCTGTATGAATAAGAAAGAGTGTGGATAACATAGGGTCTCTTTGTCTGAGTCCTTATCAAATCCATGGAACTCTTCAATAATTAATTGAAACAAAAAAGGTAGGAGCATTAGGCATTCCCAAATCCCCACCCAACAAAAATGAGTTGAAAGCCAAAAACATTTAGATCATCCTTTGAAAATTCCCAGCAAATAATATTGTTGAGGTTTATTCCTTCAACTCCAAAGGCCTAACACCTTCTTTTGAGTTTCGAGTGGAATATCTTTAGTGGATTATGAGTATTTGGATAACACAAGCAAATAATGGATAAGTAAAGAGTCTAGTAAGTGGGTCATGTCTTATTAATCAATAACAAGAGTTTATCATAACACTCTTCACTACAAGCCTGCTAGGCAGATTGTCTATCTAAGCCGAGGATGAGGGAGAATAATTGCTATCGCTAGAGAGTACAAGTTGTCAACCCTTTACAATGAGGTAACAGGTGTTGGTGATGTGAGGATTTGTGAGTGGCTAGCTTCCAAACCACCAAATCTACTGTATTAAATGCGTTTCCCGTCAATATCTTGGTTTCCCGCCAATGGGTCCGGACGAGCGTCCCCTGATCTTCTAATTCCGGGCCCAATTAAGCACAAGGACGGGGCTCCGCTCGGCTTACGCCGGCTTCTCCCCCAAGGCCCATTGGGCCAAGGCCAATAACCCCGAAATACATCAACTTATCATTATCTCCGAGTTTAGTCTCTAATAAAGCACAAAAAGTTATATCATATAGGCCCTGTTTGTTTAATGGCGGTTGGATGCCAAACCGCTGCATTATGCCGCGTTTCTATTCCTAAATTTTCGGCGAATTGGCTTGAAACGCCAGCATCCAAACGGGCACATATATTCCCTTATATAGTTTACAATAGTGTTTTGTTTAGAGATCTTATTCATACCTTTTACATTCCAAGAGAGTAGTTTCACTTAATACAAGAGTTGGAAGTAATACTTCCCCACCCCCCTTCAAATTTTCTACATTGAACAACCTCAGATTTAGTCCTAGGTTGGTTGGTCGGACAACAACCAGAACTAGTAGGTTTATTTTAAGATTCTGATATGTGTAGTGCTACCACTACTCCTACCATTTTTTCATCCCTTAACTTTCTTCTTTATATCGGTAACTGTAAGAATGTCATGTGAAATCCCTTCCCTTGGTACTTTCTAATTTCTTTGCAAGGTTCTTGACTTTTTATCCGAGTTTCCTTTAATAACCTCCATTTCTTTTTCATTTATTGTCACAACATTCTCTTCAGGTGTTACATCCTCTCCGACAATTGGTAGGTTAACTGGTACTTGAACCACCTGAAGTCCTGCTACTTTGCCCCCTTTATTGCTTACAAGCCTTTTTTATCCCCATTCTTATGGTTGCTTACAATCAAATCCTCAAATTCCTCCCCACTAGCCACTCCAATCTGCAAGGTAGAAACTACACAGTCTTCCCCGATATCGTTCTCTTTCCATTTGGTGAAGAGACTTGCATGTAAAGGCATGCTGACCATACTTTTTATAATGGAAGTAGTAATTAGGGAAGGTCTCATATATGATGAATTGCCTTCAATTCCTTCTGGTAGGGAGCTTGATATCCAGAAATAGAGGAGGAGGTTTAGACACATTAACCTCAACTAAAAACTCTAGCATAGTTCATCCTTATTTTTCACTAGTAATACCATCAGTAAATATCAGAACTCTTCATCTTCAAATGTAACCCCTGTTGTAGATTTTTTAACATAAGTGATCTTTTTAAGCATTGTCTTAGTAAGCAAATGCAGGCCTGACCCACCTCAAATTTACTAAGGGTTTTTAGTTTATATAGAGTATCATTTTGTTAAAACTTTGAAGTATAATGTAATGTATGCTATACATTCTCAAATTTTCAGGGGTAACCGGATATTTCTCTGCCTACAGAAGCAGCAAATACCAACCTGAAATCTAAGTAGTCCCTCCATTATCCAAACACAAAAATCTAAAACCCAGAATAAGAAAGAAACATAGCTTAAAATTGCATTTATAAGCGGATAATACAGAAAGAGGCATTTTCATGAGCCATGAAGAATTTGATTCAAGAACTGAGTGTATATAATGTTAGCATAGTATGTCAAGCTTGCTTGTATCTGTAAATTTACATCCAGGTCAGGGTACAGTAACCGCAACAGTTGAATAATCACCAACCAAAGGTTGAATATTCCATCCAACAAAGTTAAATCCATCAAAGTTAAGGACTATTCTTACAGTAACAGATCTGTATAGTGAATGAGGAGGAGGATAAGTATTTCTGTGGAATATAATCAAAACATCTTCTTAGCTTTAATTAAACCAGCCTCTCCTTGAAGCTCTAGCTTCGATTGGTTTCGACAGGAAGCAGCATGTCAAGGTAAAGAAAAGAGCATAAATCCGGCCTCCCATAACCACGCCAGCAAAAGCAACCATAACAAGAATCAGCAGCAGGTAACCACTACCCTCCCTTGTTTCTACACCTTGAGGGAAAAAGGCGGCATCTTTCGCCTCCTCATCATCACATTCCAATTTGGCCTCCTTATGACGCGTTGGAGGCGGCTTAACTTCTCCGGGTAGATTCTTCTTCTCCAATTTCGAGTCTTTTCGAGCCGTCTTCTTCGAAGGGAAAAGTTTCTTCATTTTTGATCGGATTTTAGCCCTGCGAGACTTTCCTCTCTTGGGTTGGGGACCCTCACCATGATCTTCCTCAATTAGGTCACCCATGGCACATCTCTCATCCAGAGATGGATCTTTGATTGCCTCATCCTCAACAATTTCGTGGGTTTCATCCGTTGGTTCGTTCATCCCATCATCGCCTTCATCAAGAACAGCAACCTCTTCCTCTGGTTTAGCGACTCTTCTACAGATGATAAATCTATGAGCCACAATCATCATCAACCTCAAATTCTCACGCGATTTCGTAAAAATTGCAGGTGTCTCGTATCGAAACACGTTTCTCGACAAGTAATCGAGGATGACCAACAGGAACGCCGATAATGTGATCCCGACCGCGAATTTCTTAGCTCCCAGAGCCAAACCTACCAACAGGAACATCGTAAGAACGCCCCGCGAAAGCACTTTGCTGGAATTGACTTCTCCATCTTGACCGCCGATGGCCGGATCGTCGTTTTCGCGGGTTCCCGTGGTCGCGATTGAGGCTCCAGATGGCGACGGTGGCAGAGGCAGTAAAATTGGATCACCGGCACTAGGCGGCGGCGGCGAGATTTTGTTATTGAAGCGGGCAGAGGGAGAGGGCTTCTTGAAACGGTCGCGATGATTGACGATTAGATCGACAAGGGAGGTGGGAAAGCCGGTCTCGACGACCAGAGGCGAGGCGGCGGCGGCGTTCTTCTGGTGGTTGAAATGATCTTTCAGCATTTGGCAGATTATGGCGGTCCTCTTAGCCTTCTTCCACGACAGCCCCATGGATTCCTGCAAATCAACCCAAACAGAGAAAAAGAACCCTCCTTTAAGACTTGAAAGTGCAGGAATTTCGCGTCATCAAACAAGGACCGCCCGACAGACCGACAGAAATTTGTGTCAGAATCAGAAGAATGAGGATGTCCGAGTACAGGGGTGTGGGTACTCGATCAGGCGACGATTCACAGGGGCGAAGAAAAAAATCAGTAAAAGAGAAGAGGTGGGTTTATCTGGTTCAGGCAAAGGTATATATATATTCAAAGGTATATATGGGGTAATAATCGTGAAAAACAGCATCTGGAACCCTAATAAATCCGGCACTTCCAGGAAGTGGGAAGATATAGAGAGAGGGGGAAACATGGATTGTGGATATGATGGGAGGGAGAGTGAGCTGTGAAATGAGAGCGAGCAGCTGACAAGTGTTACCAAGAAGCCAACACCTTTTATATGATTACTCATTACTCTGCCCCCAATTATTGTTCCTTTTTCTCCCTGTATCAATCCCAATCTTTTAACTTTGAAGGAGTACGTGTATCGTACAAATTGTGTACCAATTGAAATTGAAATATACCAACATTTAGTTATCAGTAGTATATCATCACAGAAAAAGACAATCAAATGTCCGAAACTCATACTACGTATATTTCTTCCGTTCTTAAATAAATGTCATGGTCAACATTTCACATTTGTCGAGCCACAATTTTGACCATTAATATATATACCTCTCTGTTAGTAAAAAAATTAAAAAATCATATTTTGAAAATATACAACAAGACAAAATTTAGTAATTTTTTTTTAAAAAATGTAGTCAAAGTAGAACACGTGAATAGTGTAAAATTTGGTATGTTGCACTTATTTAAGAACCGAGATACTATATATCAATAAATGTAATACTTATGGGATCTTAGACAAAAACAATGTTAATGGAAAAGTTAAAGATAAGAATAAGACTAATTTCATAAGGTTTTAAAAAGACTAATTAAGAAGACCATTGCATTCTTTACAATGTTACTCCACTGGACCAGTGCTATACTAACCATCGCGTCAATGACATTTACAATCGCCATCGGTGACTTATATTTTAAGGTGATCAACTGCTCCGGTGATCACCACAGCGCACATTACTTGGTGATAATTACACTGTAATTGATCATTATATGCCGCCACTAGTAACACAAGTGACCCACCTCGACAGTGTCCCTCCTCATTCCCTAAGCTCACCTTCCCACCCTAGCCCCAACCTTCCAAGCCACCGCACCACACCCCACGAGGTCCCTTAGCACACCACTTCGATTTGAAATATGTCGTCATTTTGTAACTCTAGTTGTGATTTCATGAAATTTGCTTTTATAATGATAATACTATTAAGATGTCACACACCGATTGTGGATAGAAATACAAACTATTATTTTGGTTATAAGTCTTAATATGGTATTAGAACAAATTAGGCTCTAACAATCCTGGTAAGTCTGAACAACAAGCACACTGATTGCAAGAGTGGTCTACTCCAACAAGCTACCATCTTGCGGAGTCGTATGAAGAAGTCTCACACTGTTTGCAAATAGAAATATAAATCAATATATAAAGTTTTGGACTACTCTTCTATGAGGTTGACTTTTAAGTGTTTAAATACTTCGTACTCCACAACTAAGTGTTTATACTCACGGGATTACAGGAATATAAATATATAATGCCAACATGAAACTAAACATATGATTACTATGTATGACCATGAGTTTTTTTCTAAATTAATGCTAAAAAATAAGTTATTTACCAAACTAATGTGAGGTTAAAATTATTTACGAGGATACTGCTAAGTTAACTAGGGTTAGGAAAATCCTTCCAAATACGAAAAGCAGCGTGCGTATTTGGAATAAGGTGGCCACGTGGGATATATACTTTTAAAAATTCCACTTTTTCCTTTAAAGTGCTCTATCTTTTACATATTTGTAGGAAATACTTTAAAAAATATACTGATGGATAATCTACCCGGGGGTATCTTATCCGAGGGGTTATTGCGGAAATAACTAGAGAGAAGTCAGAGCAAAATAGGAGGAGAGAGAGTCGATTTTATTAAATGAACTCGAGACGTGGAGTTGGGATGCAGATTCTGTCCATTACAAGGAGAAATGGGCTGCTATTTATAGCAGCAATAAATGCGATGAGAGGACACGTGTCAGTAATCCAACGGCCGAAGGGTCACATCAGCCTGGTGGCACCGGCAGTGGTACGTCAACCGCATTGAATGCGGTTGGCGGATGTGACGTGGCATTAAATGCGGTGGTTGGCTGTCTCTAAAAGGAATCTTCGATGATTGAGCTTGTTCAGCCGAAGGCTCTTCGTGTAGTCGAGGGCTCCCCATGTAGCCGAGGGCTCATTGTGTAGCCGAGGGCTTCTTGTGTGGCCGAAGGCTTGGTTCAGCCGAAGGCTTACCCCTGGTGCCGAGGGCATGAGAATGCCGAAGGCTTATGTCTCCGCCCGTTTTTCTCCCAGCAGCTTCTTATGCCAGAGAAGGCTATCCTGTGAGTTTTGAAGCCTTCGGCCAAGGAGGCCGAAGGCACCCCAGTGTGTATTCTGGGCCACTTTGAGGCTTGGGCCGTTGTTTTTGGGCCTGAGTTGTTTCCTGAGCTCAATGGACTTGTGTAGGAGAAATAGGAGTCTATGGTCCGGGGGTTCCTGGGCCATATACTCCATCAGGAGTCCCTCACTCCTTTTGCCGAAAGGTACTTGAGGGAAAAGGAGTAATTGTGTTGATTCTCCCGAAAGCTTTCATCGTTTTGTTGGGTGCCTTTGACTGATCACTTATCTTCTGCTGTTAGCCGAAGGCTTCCCTCAGTCCCCCACATGTCGAGGGTTTTCTGAGGGAAGGTATTCGTAACCTTCGCATGTTCGCCGGGGGCTTCCCTCAGCCCCTCACATGTCGAGGGTTTTCTGAGGGAAGCATAGATGTATTGTCTGCATGTATTGTGATGAGGGGTTGTACTGTGATGTTTGCCCAGAGGTCGTATGCGTCAATTGTAAATTGTTGCATGAAGAAATTTTTGGTGTGTATGATCCCCGAGGGGTGTATGCCAGTCCCCCACTCCTTTAGGCCGAAGGCGAGTTCGGGCTGAAGGAGTTATGATGAGTTGATGATCCCCCGAGGGGTTGTATATTGACAAGCCGAAGGCTTATGCTGCTACGGGCTCGAAGGCGTTCGGTGGAATTAATTGTCCGTGGGGTGTGGTGGGTGATAGCCGGAGGCTATCATTCGAAGGCACCCCAGTGGCGCCGAAATATAGTCGTTGTAATATAGCCGTTGGAAGGGGAGTTGACGTGGCGTGTAGTCGTTGGTCGGAGGCGGGCGGCGGCCATCCATTGGCTGAACCGGCGGCCCGTAATGATGGCCTTTTTAAATTGAAGCCCAGATTCCGAGGCTGGGAGCCTATAAATACCCCAAGCCCGAACTCATATTCCTTGTGCGATATTTGTGATAGCGAAGCTCTGCCCTTTTGTTTTCTAGAGAGAGAAAGCCCTGTTCGATCAAACCCCAAGTTTCGAGGTCAGTTCTTCACCCGTTCTTCGCTTTACTAGCATACTTCGCTTTTCTCCCTTAGATCTTGTGTTAGAGGTCTTAGGAGCCTTCGGTAGGAACATTTAGGTAGTCCCCCTCAGCCATACTTCTCCTACTCTCCCTTCAGAATCATGTCCTCGCAAAGCGATTCCCAAGATATCTCGGGGGAGCCGTCGGCACAACAGGGAAGCTACTCGGACGTGGAGTCCTCGAGTGCGCAATCCTCGGCGAACAACGATTCAGCGGTTGCCGAGGAAGTTCAAAATAACCTTCGCACTGAGCTGGAGGCGGAGGAGTTCGAGCAGGTTGTCGAAGATGAAGAAATGGCCCTCGCCCTTCAAGTAGCTGAGGAAGAAGAAGAGAAGGAGAGACAAGAGGTCACAATTGCTGTCCTCCCGCTCCGTGGTGCCGGCGAGGCGAGCACCTCCCGGCCACTAGATCCAGAACCCCTCAGCGTTGCCGTGGGGAAGAAGAGGAAGAAGGCGAAGGTTTCTCAGAAGAAGAAGAAGCAACCTGCCGCAGATTGTGGGAAGCCCGTGGGGATCCCCGAGGGACACTCTTGGCTGAATACAGCCGCCCTCGCGCTTAGGTCGAGGGCTGACCGGGCAGAGTGCTACGTTACTCAGCTGCATGTGGGCCCCTCGACGGAGGTGATTGAAGCGGGGCCCAACGATCTCCTCTCCCAGGCTCCCGAAGGATGTTTCGCCGTCCATGTGCTGTCGGTAGCCATGGGCCTCCGGTTCCCGCTGCATCCTTTCCTTCTCGAATATCTGAGATACGTGGGTTTAGCCCCTTGTCAGCTCACCCCAAATAGCCACTCGTACATTACAGGCTTCCTTCAGCTTTGCCGGGCCCGCGGGGTAACCGCGACCCTTGATCTATTTTTTCAAAGCTTCAACTTGTGCCGGGGGGGACATACCAACTCCGAGGGGTTTGCAAACCTGCAGCAGCTTGCCCCTTGGAGGCTTTTTGATGATGTGCCTTCGTCTCACAAGGGGTGGAGGGACCGGTTCTGTTATATCAAGATGGCAGAAAACCCGTTTCCGGGGGAACTGCGCAACCACTTCCGGCGGCATCCGAAGGTGGGAAGTGCCGCTCTTCAGAAGGAGGGGAAGAAGATTGCTGCTTTGCTGCCGGGGGCCACAAAGCACGTGACAGTCAAGGACTCTACTCTCCCGGAAGATTTGCTGGCCTTAGGCTTTCGGCGTTATCGCTTTCTGGGTGAAAAAGACGAACAGTACCCCGTCCTCGAGAGAGCCCTCGGTAGCATTGGAGGTAGTTACCGGAGGGTCCCGTTTTTTGTACTTAGGGTTTTGTAGTTTCCTTATTTTCTTTCCTTTGTAGTTGACCCCTCTGGTCTGACTCTGTTGTTGTTTTGCAGGTGTAAGCATGGATGTCTCCAACTTCGCAGCCCTCAAGAAAAAGCTGGCCAAAGAGCCTAAGAGGAAGGAGGCGGGTAAGCAGAAACCCGTCAACGAGTTCTTCAGGAAGGATGGGACCACTCAGGTTCCCGGGGGAGAGGTTCCCTCTCAAGCCGTTGGTGCCGGTACCGACGCCGGAGGCTCCAAAGCGGAGCTGAAGAGGAAAGGAGCCGGGAAGGGTGTGGTGCCACCGGAGAAGAAGAAAAAGAAGGGGGGCCCTGAGAAGAAGGACGCCCCCCTCGTCATTGTCGAAGAGCATTCCTCCTCCTCTCCCTCAGCAAATGCTCTTCCCCCCCCGGGGACCAAGGCAACAACCTGGCCTGGCCCCGGGATGATGTGCAATTCTCCATCACCAAGGGAACTGCCATCATGCATGGCACCCTCAACCCGAGGGAGTTCTTAAAGGGTGCCACGCCTCCGACTGACAAGTCGGTGCTCTCGAGGGCGAAGGATGATGCCCTCAGTGCCAAGGTGCTCCAAGCCTCCGTCACTGTAAGTTTCTCTCCTAACTTTTGTTCAGTTGATGGGCCTGGTGTATTTTTACTTTACCAAGCTGATCATTGCTGTATGACGGTTTTGATTTGTAGGCTGCCCTCGGGCTTGGGGAACTGCTCCAGAGGATGGAGCAATACCAGCTGCAGAAGTTGCAAGCCGATGAGGCCCTGGCGGAGTCCCGGCGACAGCTCCAGGAGGTCCGAGAGTCCCTCCGGCGGGAGACGGAGGCGTTCAACTCCATCCTGGAGAACAACAAAATAATCGCCAGGGCTGAGGGCAAGGCCGATGCTGAGAGGGCTGCAGCGGAAGCCTCCAAGGTTGCTGCGGAGGAAGCCGAGGCTGCGAAGAAGGAGGCTGTTGCTCGGGCAGAGAAAGATGCCATCGCCGCCTTTGTCGCTGAGGGGTGGAAGGCCGAAGAGCACAAACAATGGTTGTCCTCGGTGGTGGAGGCCTCGGTTGATGATTGGGTAAAGGACCACGGGGCTTTATGGTTGGCCCGCAAGGGCAAAGACTACTATGACGGTGGGGAATTCTTTACCCAGAAGCTTGTTTACCGACGGCTGGCCAGGCACTTCAATATTGAGCCGAAGGAATTTGATCCGGCAGCTTACGGCCTTCCCCCTCTGCAGCCAGATGTAAGAGTCCCTCTTCCTGAGGGCGAAGAAAGGCCGGATCTTGAAGACTCCGAGCTCATGCAGGAAGGCGGTGAAGAGGCCGGTGATGATGCCACTTCCAAGACTGCCGAGGAGGGGGCTCAAACTGCCGATACTTAGCTTTACCTTTCTTGTTGTTTGTAGTTGATAGTGCCCTTCGGCCTTGTATTGTAATGACATTTCTTGTAAACTCCAACTCTTGATGATGAATGATATGCCTCCGGGCTTTGTTATATTGAATGCTTCGTTTGCTGAATTCGAGTGCTTGCCTTCGTTTTTTATTTTCCGCGTATGAACGTATGCTTTATTTCCATCTCTGAAGGTCGGAGATCTGTGGACTTTTAAAAAATTTTCTAAGTGAAAGCTTGGCTAGAACCTTCTGAATGTATGCCTAAGTGAAAACATAATCAGAAGCCTTCGGTAATAAGGCTCAAACGCCGGGGGCTTGCAGTTGTGGACTCGGAAAATCTTCTAAGCACGGTTTCTCCGTATGCTTTCGGTAATAGTTAGCCTTCGGTAGAGTAAGCTTTCCCGGGGGGCTTGTAGTTGTGGACTTAGAAAATTTTCTAAGTGAGACCAGACCAGGACCCTTCGGTTGTGAAGTAGAATTACGTGGGGGTCGTTGCTTGTGTACTTAGAAGGTCTTCCAAGTAAAACTTTGATTAGAACCCTTCGGATGTTTCGTGATTGTGGACTTTGAAAAATTTCCTAAGTAAAATTCCATCGCATGTCTTCGGTGATGAACCATTGGGATTGCTTCCGGGTTGTAGCGATAGGATCGAGGGCTAAGGTGAATTAGACTTAGGAAATTTCCCAAGTGCAGTTGCCTCTAATGCCCCCGGGAAGCTTGGGATCCTTTGTTTGGTAGTGTAGCTTTAGGTCATGGCCAAGTGGCTTAGGGGAGCCATCGACCACGCATCTGTAGGTGAAGAATTGCCCCCCGAAGGGTCTCCCATTTGTGGACTTGGTCAAATTTCCACAATATTCCAATAGTAGTTGTAGTGAACCTTCCGGTATGGGAACTGCTCTGAGCCCCCGGTATATATGGTTGCCGGGGGTTTCGAGATTGTGGACTTAGTGAAATTCTGAGATGTGTTTCCAACAGATCTTATGAGTAGCCCTCCGGTTCGGTGAGTGTTTTCCTAAGGATACCAATACGTGGACTTAGAAATTTTCTCATCCTTGAATGAGCCTGGTGACGTTCTGCCTTCGGCCTCCGGTTTGTGCACATATAGTACTCCGAGGCCTCACGTAGTGAAGCTTTTGGCTATGTAGCCAGATGATTCGATGTTGAGAGATTTTCTTGCGCATTTGTAGCAGCCTTCGGCAATGTATATCCGAAGTGTTGAGCCTCCGGGGAGAATAGTATCCGGGGAGTTCCTTCCCCCCTACACATCTTTTTTTTTTTTTTTTTTTTTTTGATGGTGTAGGAGAGGCATCTAGAAACTTGGTCTCTAGGAAAGGCTTGGCCTATATGGGAGGCAACGGAACAAACCGTTGGCTCCCCCTTCGGGAATGACCTTCCGATATCCCGAAGGGTTTGAGGGTCGTTTCCTCGGCCCGAGACATCGTCTGTTGCCTGCTTCCCCTTGGGGGATAGCACGGAAAGCGCCTCGGTTTTGAAAGTCGTCCCCTCAGCCCGAGACATGGTCTGTTGCCTGCTTCCCCTTGGGGGATAGCGCGGGGAGCGTTTCGTTTGTGGAAGTCGAATCCTGGGCCCGGGACATGGTCCGTTGCCTGCCTCCCCTTGGGGGATGGCGCGGAAAGCGTTCCTGGGAAGGGTTTTTATTTGTGTGTGGGACACAAATAGCCGGGGGCACTTGGTACCAGCCGGAGCCGAGGGGTGTTGCACCCCCCGGTTTTTTTTTTTTTTTTTTTTTTTTTTTTTTTTTCAGGAGAGTATGTAAAAGTATGCATAATGTATGCATGGTTGCGTCCTCGTGGGGTACGGCTTAGTGAGAAAACACTAGGTGTTTTCAAAGAGTGATGGGGGTGGCCCATACACTTGGTACTTGGTACCTAAACTGTCTTTCCCCCTCATGAGAGGGAGAGGCCTTGGGCCTATTTTGGTGAAGCGATGAGGGATTGGCCACTCATTTGTAGGGGAGAAGGGGGCCTTGGGCCGTTTGTATAATATGTAGGTGATGAAGGCTTGGCCTTTTGACTATTCTTCAAAAACAGACGAGGCCTTGGGCCATTGATGTTTACACTTGCGGAGGATGAGGGCTTGGCCGCTCATGTTTTATTGATAGAATTTTACAAGGTGGTGCACATTCCAATGTCTAGGAATCTCTGTCCCATTAGGACGTTTTAATCTGTATGTCCCCGGTTTGATGATGGCCGAGATGATGTAGGGGCCCTCAAACTTGGGCGCCATCTTCCCTCCTTCGGTGGGTAGACTGGCCTCCCTTCGTCGGAGGACGTAGTCTCCCACCTGGAATTCCCGGGAGCGGACTTTGGCGTCGATGTAGCCCTTGATTTGTCTCCTATAGTTTTCGGCCCTGAGGAAAGCTTGCTCTCGGCGTTCTGAGATTAGATGAAGGTCGAGGGCCATGTTGGCGTCGTTGACGTCGGGTTCATATTGTTCCACCCTTCGGGTAGGAAGGGTAACCTCTGTGGGCGCCATAGCCTCGAAGCCATAGCACAGGGAGAAGGGTGTTTCGCCTGTTGCGCGCCGAGGGGTGGTGCGGTAGGCCCATAGGATGTTATGAAGTTCTTCTACCCAGCCTCCCCCTTCGGCTTCCAGCTTCTTCTTCAACCCCTCGAGGAGGGTGCGGTTGGCATTCTCTACTTGTCCATTGCCTTGAGGGTAGGCAACGGAAGAGAATGTGTGCTTGATGCCCCAAGCCTCAAGGAGGGCACAGAAGGGGGCCGCCTCGAATTGAGTCCCGTTGTCAGAGATGATCTGTTGGGGGACGCCAAACCTCGTGAGGATATTTTTGAGAACAAAGTGGCGGCACCGGGCCTCAGTGATGCTGGCGAGGGGTTCGGCCTCTACCCATTTGGTGAAGTAGTCAATGGCCACAATGATATACCTGTTGTTGGAGGTACCCCTCGGCAGAGGGCCTACTAAGTCTATCCCCCATCTGGAGAAGGGTATAGCGGTGCTGATGGGGGCATAGTTGACCGCTGGTCTGCCGGGGGCCTTCTGAAAGTGTTGGCAAGCGGTGCACCTTCGGGCTAGATCAGCACAATCTCTAGCCATCGTGGGCCAGAAGTAGCCCTGAACTATGAGCCTTCGGGACATGGAGAAGGGTCCCTGGTGAGCTGAGCAAGTGCCACTGTGCACTTCCTCCATAGCGACTTCGGCTTCATCTTGGTGCAGGCACCGAAGGAGGGTGCCATTGTAAGATCTTTTGTAAAGCCTTCTATTCTCGAGGGTGTAGCTGGGAGCCCTCAGTTTTGTCAATCTCGCGCGGGTCTCATCTTGGGGTAGTTGCCCCGTGGTGATGAAGGTGGTGATGTCGGAGATCCAATCCTCCGGTCTCAGATTAATGTTCATAATGGGGCTTGCGTGGATGCTTGAGAGGCTGAGTTCCTCAATTCTCGCAATTTTGGAGAGGTGTTCGGGGGATTCATCCGAAAGCTTAGATAGAATGTCGGCCTCGGAGTTTTGAGCCCTCGGTATTTGGGTGAGAGAATGTGCCTCAAACACCTTGAGCAACTCCTTAGCCGCTTCTTTGTATTGTTTCATCCTTCCTTCCTTGGCTTCGTACTCCCCGGAAATTTGACCCACAACAAGTTTGGAGTCGCACTTGACGTGGATCAACTTAGCCTTCAGATTTGCTGCCAGCCGAAGGCCGCAGAGGAGGGCCTCATATTCGGCCTCGTTGTTGGAGACTTTGAAGGAGAAGCGGATGGCATAATAGGCGCGGAAGCCCTCGGGAGTAATGAGGACTACTCCCCCTCCACATGCTTTGGTGGCCGAGGAGCCATCGGTATAGAGGGTCCACCACTCATCAAGAGTAGCCGAAGGCTCTTCACCCACCGCTGATCTCGCGGTGCATTCCGTCACGAAGTCTGCCAGGGCTTGGCCCTTGATGGCAGGCCTCGGACGGATATCTATGTTGTATTGGCTGAGGAAGATGGCCCATTTCACCATTCGAGAGGAGCTAGTGGGACTCCTCATGAGGGCGCCGAGGGGTTGATGAGTGAGCACTTGGACCGGATGGGCCTGAAAGTAGTGGCCAAGCTTCTTGACGGTCCAAACGATGGCTAGCACCGTCTTCTCGACGGGAGAATACCTGAGTTCGGCCTCCCGGAGGGTTTTGCTGACGTAGAAGATGGCATGTTGGATGCCGTCTTCCTCTCGGATCAGTACTGAGCTGATAGCCGCAGGGCTAACACCGAGATACAAATATAAAGTCTCCCCCGCCTTTGGTTTGGAGAGCACTGGGGGAGAGGAGAGGTACTTCTTGAGTTCGTCGAAGGCCCCTTGACATTCAGATGTCCATTGGAAGCCAGCTGTCTTCCTCATGATTTGGAAGAAGGGGAGGGCCCTCTCGGCCGACTTAGAGAGGAATCGGTTGAGGGCCGCCAAGCGACCCGTTAGCCGTTGAACTTCTTTGATGTTGCGTGGAGGCTCCATGTTGATGATGGCCTGAATCTTCTCGGGGTTGGCCTCAATACCCCTTCGGCTGACCATGTAGCCCAAGAACTTTCCTCCCTGCACGCCGAAGGTGCATTTCTTTGGATTTAGCCGGAGGTTGAACTTTTGCATGATGGCAAAAATCTCCTGGAGGTCGTCGGCGTGGGTGCCTGCCTTCTTGCTTTTGACGATCATGTCATCAACGTAAGCCTCCATAGTGCGTCCTAGGACAGCTTGGAAGACCCTAGCCACCATGCGTGTGTAGGTGGCGCCTGAATTTTTGAGGCCGAAGGCCATCACAAGATAGCAGAAGATGCCTTCGGGTGTCATGAAGGCTGTTTTCTCAGCGTCTTCCTCATGCATGTAGATTTGATGATACCCGCGGAATGCGTCGAGGAAGGACATGATTTCGCATCCCGCGGTCTCATCAACCAGCTGATCAATGTTTGGCAGTGGGAAGGGGTCCATGGGGCACGCCTTATTCAGATCCGTGTAGTCCACGCACATGCGGAAGGTAGGAGGCTTCTGTGCGAGGACTACGTTTGCCAACCAAGAAGGGTATTTCACCTCCTTAATGTGTTTGATGGAGAGGAGCATAGATACCTCTTTCTTCACGAACTCCCTTCTCTCGGCCGAGAGGGGTCTCCTTCGTTGCTGCACTGGTCTGGCCGAAGGGTCCACCGCCAGGCGGTGGGTGATAACCCTTCGGTCAATTCCTGGCATATCCTCCGGCCCCCATGCAAAAACAATGGAGTAGGCGCGGAGGGCCTTGGTGATGCCAGCCTTCAAGTCTTCGGGGAGCTTGGCTCCAATCTTCAGGACTCTTTCCGGCTTGGCCGGATCGAGTATCAAGTCTTCGGTCTCCTCAGCAGGCTCGGCCCTCGGCCTTCCTTCTTCTTCCTCCAGGGCCCTGGCGGTGATGGTGTCAATCCGAAGTTCAGTTTTACTAACCTTCTTGGTGAGTTGGAGGTAGCAGGCCCTGGAGAGTTTTTGATTCCCCCTCGAGTAACCGATGCCGGTGGGTGTGGGGAACTTGAGACAGAGGTGCCTCATGGAGATGACGGCCTCCAAATCTTCGAGGGCAGGCCGGCCGAGGATGATGTTATGCGCGCAGTCGAGGTTGACGACGACGAATTCCACTTCGAGCTTGGCTCTATGGGACCCGTCGCCGAATTCCACCATGAGGGTGATGACGCCCTCGGCGTCTATGCTGTCCCCCGTAAATCCGGAGAGGGGGGGTGTTGATGTGTCGAAGGGACCCCCTGTCGAGTCCCAACTCTTGAAAAGTGCTGAGATACATGACGTTGACAGAACTCCCCGTGTCGACGTAAGTCCGGTGGATGATGGCGTCATTGATCTCAGTGCGGATGACGAGGGCATCCCTATGCGG